GGTTGGTTTTTTCCCCTGGCTTCACAAAACCATTTTCTCTTTTTTCTGTTCACTTGCCAAAGAGGCAGAAAACAGATAATAACATGGAGACTAAAATAGCCCAAAAGGTGCATGGCCCCTCTTTCTCTGTACACTCTCTTTTTGATACTTAATCCTTGCAATGTATGCAGAGCAAAAGTGATGTGGAAGTTTTCATCTGAAGGTTCCTTACATGTGCATTAATTCCAGAGAATTCTTGACCAGTAACATCTAAATTCACTGATGTCTCAATAGTTCCGTATTTCAGTTTTTCTCTTCCCAACCTCAACAAATAAATAGGGAGGAGTAGACAAGTTAAAGTGCTCTCCTCTGAAAGGGCTTATCCTTAGAGCTAAAAAAACTGGAAATCAATTTGTTGCAGTTCTGGTATTAGAGTAGTTGAGAAAACCTGTGTTTGAGCTCACAAAAATCAATAGCAATAATACTGAACTAAGAACTGGAAAGCTGAAGCTTTTTGTTTTTCTTGAAGGAAAAAAAAATGTATAAAATTATTTTCTGAAAGAAAAAGATTACAAAAGAAAAACTAAAACCAAATAAAGACTAACAGATGCTCAGGGTCATGAAAAGCTAATAGTTTAGATTGCTGCTAGTTGAGGATTTTCTCATACTGCCTTCTCAGAAGCTCTAGGTAAACTGTCCATATCCCATCCAAACCTATAGCTGAGAGCACTTTGGTCTGCAAAATATTTCAAAGAAAGTCTAAATAGGAATTTAGGCTGTCAGAGCTCATATGGTGTTTCCAGGCTTAGAGTTTAAGAAAGACTGATTTCTGATTTAGAAAGCAAGCAGCTTGGATAAATAATCTATGAAGCACAGTAAAGTTCAGATGTCCCCCTGCTATTTTAAATGCACTAGTCAAGAAAGTCCTTTCAATCTTTGATTCCATGTGCTTGAAGTCCAACAGACTTCCTTTTCCACTATGGATGTTCAGGACACTTCAAGAGTGGATTTCAGTCTTGTGGATGTTCTTCTAAGAGCCAGAAAAATATTTATACCAATAGACTGCAAATCAAGTTATCATGTGCCTCATTCAAAATTAGTGAGATAATAAATATTAAAAAATTCTGAAATACTGAACATTAAAATACTGCACATGTTATAATAGTTTAATAAGACTATTCTCAGTTATCTTTTGCCCTTGTATTTTCCAGTAACTTTTATCAATATAATTACCATCTATTAGATTACATTTTAATTAAACACACATAAGCATTCAGCAATTCATCATTATAAATTTTTGCATGGTATCATTATGCAATACAAACATTCAGGTTGTTTTGTTTTGGTTTTAAGTACCAGCGATTAAAGTTATGCTTTTATGTCTATATTTAAGATCTATATCTAGCAGCTGAATCTCAAAATTACAAACCAGGTAGCCCTCCTTGAAAGACAACAATAAACTAGTCATATTACCTGCTACGGGATTAGTCCCAGAAGCTGCAGTTTATGAAGGGGACTAATTCTGTTCCCCAGTCCTCTTTTGCTGTTTCTGCTTTCTCCTAAACCTTTGAAGTCTCACCTTTTGTAGACTTTAAAAATATATATTTAATGATTTTTGAAAGTACATCATTCACTTGTGTAAACCACTGCAAAAATCCTTAAACAACTGTTTGTGTCCAAGAGTAAGGATGAGATTTTCAAGGACACAAGGTACAATTAGGAGTTAACAGCCAGCAAAATCTGGCAGACAGGTACCTAACTGTGGTATAGCTTTGAAAACCTCTTCATTAAGACTCAACCATATGTTATAAACCATGAAAAGCAGCCTTACACCATTATTCTTTCTTTATCCCACTAAATTAACTTCAAGAGTATTCTTAAAAAGAAACTAATCCATTCCTAAAAAGTATTTGATTAATCCTCTTCTAGTCTTGAGACATAAAACTGAAATAAGGTCAGCCATCTTCAAGTATTAGCACTTGAACTTATCCTGTCTTACACAGAAAGTGAAACTACAAGGCAAGAAGAAAACATGTAGTAATGCAGGTGACATTAAGGTGACACCAGCCTTGATTGTGTTAAAATAAAAATAAGCTTGCTTTTTTATTATCACATTGCATACACACACAGAGAAAACTCATCTGGAATATAAGGCAAGTGGAGTAATGAACTTAATTAACACAGAATATAAAAGAAAGACCCTGCAAATGTGTAGATATAATGAAATTGTTCAGCAAATGAACCAGTAGTCATAATGAAATTTTGTGTTATTTCCTCCTGCCATTAAGGCCAGAAGTAATAAAACTGAGTAGGAAAAAAGTATCATAAATCTTTATTGATCTTAAAATTAATTAAAAAATAATAATCATTGTAAGAAACCAAGTGCAAGTTACTTTTACTGTTCCACTAAGAAGTCCAGCATCAGTTCCACTGCTGAGCATCCACCTCTTAAGTTTATTGAATGCAACCCTATAATAGTGTTGCAATATTTGTATCCTCTTACCCTCTTCTCTGTTCAGATGGTAAGAATACTCTCTTCATTTCTACCCCAAGAGCTCAGGTACCATCACATAAATGGCCCAATATTGTAGAGGACTTACGTGCCAGGACAGCCCACACGGCTGTAGTTTGTGTGCTCTACCACCTCGCTAGGAACTGCATAGGAGAAGCCCAAATACTACAGGGAAATCTTTAAAGTCAGCTCTGACCATTTCTTAGTTTGGCCATTACTCAAACTTGCAATATATACTGCTGATGAGTCAAACATCAGATCACTCATTTTGATTTATTTCTTTCAATTCATGGAGAATTTTATTTATGTTTATAACTTCCGGGGTTTTGTTGGCAGTGCCAATAGATTCAGTCCAGGGATAAATGAGTGCTTAGACCATTATATAGCATTACAGTATATTGATCAGAATACCTATAGAATAACTAAGGCTGAAAATAATACTGTTACTAAGATAAATGCTCAGAAGGAATCAGGTCCAGTCTAACCAAATAATATATTTTCAGCATTGCTGAAGAGAGTATCAGCAAACTAAAACCTCGAGTTTTCCAGTTATTTTTTTTAAACTAATGGGCTTTTCACAGCAAATAACAATATAAATATTATTTTATTTTGCCCTAATATAATTTTTTTTTGTACTGACACAATATTTCTATACTGTCCTCAAGACATCGAAGGTGATGCTGGACCAATAAAAAGCACAAAAGCAATGTGCTTTCTGAATGTACAGAATATCTGAGTGCAAAGAGCACAGATCGGAGATGTGTCACATGCCACTAATTCAAAGCATTTAATCCTGCCTTCCACACGTCAGTGGAGGCAACACAAACGCCAAAAAATTCCTCTTTGATAGCAGAATTGTATACACTGTACATTATATAAGCCTTCTGTCCCTCTCCACTTGTACGCTATCAAATCAGTCTGGCTATTATTCTATATTGAGCAGATGGTATGATGAGATTTTTTGATAAAGAACAACAATCACCCAGGGCAGGGTTGCAAAGGGGTCGCTGAAACCAAGATTAACAATTGATTAGCTTTAATGGACCGTGACAGTAATAAACAACAGAGCTCTACACAAAGATTTGATTGTCCTGTTAATGCTGCTGACACAAATGGCTTTTAAGTGGCTTCCTGAAAGTGTTAATATCTTCAAAGCCTCAGCAAATGAAGGACTTAGTCAAAGTGAGAACTGTCCTGCGGTGAAGAAGCACTTACTGCAGACCTCTAAAAAAAAAAAACAACTTCTATAAAGTGTTTCTGATTTACTCAGACAACGGCTACTATTTGTCCAAGTTAAAAAAACAACAACAACCACCACCAAACAAAAGCAGCACACCTCTGCAAGGCTGGAATGTAACGGAACTCTACAGTATTTGAATACAGAAGCCATCATTCACTGAATGCAACAATAGTATGAATTACCACTTTCGATGCACTCATTTTATCCTTACTGCTTCACAAGCTCACAGATCTCAGTACCCCAGCCTTATTAACTCCATTTTTCATGTTTAGCTCTGAAAAGTTTACTCTTTTTTTTTCTTTCTGCACAGAAATTAGGAATTTGCATCATATTTTCATTAAAGTGTTTTGTGATTACTGGAGGTAACCATGGTAAAATCTGAAAACAGAACTTGCATATCTATGTATTTCTCAGATACATGCATGGGAAAAAGTCTAGGGAAAAAAAATCTTTTTCCCTTAATGCTTAAGTTCAACATTTAAATGGACGTATGGCAAATATTCACAGAAGGTTTTAAAATTAAATCTACATACAGAACAGAACCCCACTTAACATGGCATTCAAGAATCCAAGGATATGGGAATTCATTAAAGGTAAGGAGGTATTTACTCACTTAACTATTGAGTAACACTTTCTATAAAACTGTTTTAGCTTAGATAACTTGGTTTTTAAAATAACCTGTTTTTTTATTTTGTATCTTACTTAAGCCAAGGGGTTTTTTAAACATTTTTAACTGTGAGGTGCCACAGTGCTTCTCTCTCCCGTGTTATTCCTAAAGGCAACATTTTGAGACAATAATGGCATAGTTCTAAGGGCTTTTAGGTAAAAGAGAAAAGAGTGTCTGCTCTAGAGTCAGATCCAAATACAAACCATTTGCACAAATCAAGGTCATACTAATCCCATCCCTGAGGGTCCCACCCCATCTGCAAATTCAACTCTCTACAGAACAATTCCTTGCCAGTACATTGCAATGATGAAACATGCTGCTAATTATTGTGTTTAAAAATCTTGACCTAAGCAGACACGCAGGGAATTCAAATGAAATCTCTAAAAGAGTAAAATCCACCTGCTTGGTCTCCCGACACTAAAACACTAAATGTGTAACCTGTCAAAATACTGAGCTGACCTTCATTAATTCCATTTTCTGTAATCAGTACCTTCTATTACTCACATGCTTGGCTTTCTGCAGCAGTTCTTGAAGTAAGCTATTGTATAAACCATTACAGTATATTCTGATTATAAATAATAAAGAGAATAATTAACAATTACCTGTAGGTCAGCATCAAACTCATGTTTCAGGTAAGCATCTTCTGCAGCTTCAACAAGACGCTGGGGGAAAAAAAAGGGAAAAAAAATGATGTATTTTTAAAATAAATAAAAAATATCTTTAAATCCAAGTGTTTCTTCCAGTATAACAACAGGAATTGTTTGAGAATTGCATAGTTCATTGTCACCACAGGATATGAAACTCCATAGAATAGAAATAAATCAGGGTTTTTAAACTCTTAGCATCCAGGATTGGTGGTACAAAACTCTTGAAGCAGCTCAATTACTAGGAAATAAAAACAAAACCAGGTCAGCTTTTCCTGTGCTCAGGCTCCTATTCTGATACAGAGTTTTGAAAGAAAATTAAGTTTTGCTTTCACACTATACCTTATTTTGTACCTAGGAGCCCTTTAAAAATCTTTCTTAAAGCAGGAGGTATTTCCTAATAACACACTTGATTGCAAGCAATGGAAATAAGAAGGAAATTCTAAATAACACATCAAATATAAAAGATTACACAAATAGAGATTAGATTTGTTTAATTAGCAGACGTGAAGCATTGTGCATATTGCCCTAACACAATGCATAATGACAAGAAGACCTTTCTGCTTTTACAGAAGTGATCTTTACTGAATGAACTGTTTCCCACCCAAGACAAGTCAAACCAGAACTGAACTGAAAAATGCAGCAGCTCAGCTTCCTACACACACCACATGGGTAAAGGACCCAACACCTACAGTGCAACAGGCTGTGGGAGGGGAAGCCAGGAAAAAATAAAACAGTGAATTGCTCGTAGTGCTCCTGTCTGTATGAACAGTAGTAGAAATGGACCTTGTGGTTTGAGAGGTTATCAAACATTAATGTGATCCACAAGTTCATTTGCTTTTAGAATTTCAAGAGGGAAGTAACACACACTATTCTGAGGGGGAGGCCTCGCAGCAGCTGAAATGGGTTCTTAAACATCTGAATGGTCTCACAAGTTCAGCATGTCAGTGACCTGCTGAGGGTATTTGACAAATCAAGCCCTCCTTTTTTAAGTATGAAGAAGTCATTTTATGTAAAATAACTACTATAATTAAATGCAGTTCTGCAGGTGGATACTCCTTTATATTGAAACAATTGGCGCATTACCACTCTGTGCACATCTGATACCAAAGATCATGACTCTGATGAGTCTGAAGGGAAAAGAGAAATCAGGGTCAAAAAAATTCTTTGTGCAGGAATGAATGCAGGGAAAAAAGAAAGGTTTTTCCTTCTGTGCTGAAATATTTACTTACTCATCAGAAGAAAAATTATTACAGTATTTCATGAGATACTAGTGCCTAGATATTAGTACCTAGTGGGCTAGAAAATAATTCACAGCTTCTTATATAGTTTGTATTGATCCCAATGTCTTTCAATTACATTTTTGCCTCGGTGAAATAAATTTAAACTAAGATTTATCCCTCCCATGTAAGAAATAGCTAGAGAAGCATAAGAAGGGTAATAGCAGAAACTCTGATAAAGGAGGCCAGCTCAGAAATAAGAAGTACTGATGGACACTTTATTGGTTTATTCATTAAGATTTTAGTTGTTACATTTGTTCATCTAAAAAAAAAAAAAAAAGTTCCATAAGTTTAAGCAACATACTTTACAGGAAACAGAACAAGAAAAAAAACAACAATCTGCATACATGTATTTTTCCCTGAAGACATGGGCACAAACAATCACGTGCTTCACCCTCACAAATAAACAAACAAACAAATTAAATTTTTGGTACAGTGGATGTAAACAACACAACTATATGCTGCATTTTCTATGTAACAGTGCTTAACCACAGTTTGCTCTAAACATCTCAACACTATTATGAAGGATACTATGAGAAATCTGGGAGAGCTACAGAAAAGGTAAGCTAGTAATAAGCCTAAATCCACAAAAAACACATACCAGTAGATACACAAAGATTATATATGAATGAAGAAATTATCTATAAATGCTTGGAAGTTTTGGGTTTGTTTAGTTGATTGGTTGCTTTTTTGGGGTGTTTTTTCTGTTTGTTGTTTTTTTTTTGGGGGGGGGAGGGGGTTGGGGTTTTGGTTGGTTGGTTTTTGTTTTGGTTTTTGTTGTCTTGGCTGTCGTTTTTTTAAAAAAAAGTCTCCAAAGGCATGAAGCATGATGGAATAAATTCCTCAACACTCTGGAGGCAAAAGTATAAAAACCACATGTAAGACTGCAATATTCCCATACTGAGGCCAGAAATCCCTTTTAAAATATTTTAATGACTGAATAGTTATCTAGCAATGATTCCCAACATCATCATGATTAGCAATTGTAACTTAATAGTTTATAATGACACTCTTAAGACAAATGCCAATATTTTCACTTGAGTAAACATGTTCTAAAATAATTGATGTAGCAAGTAGACAATTACTAAGTTGTGATTATCCTGAAGGGAATTGTGAATGATGAACACTGAGTGAGCACTGTTAGAGTGACACCTTCTAAGGGTCTATATTTAAGGAGCATTTAGTTCTACACATGGAAGGTGTTTTCATGCACAGCCAAGCCAAGGGCAGCATTTAGTCTTTAGAAAAAGTACAATTGTCACATTCTATAGCACAGTTCAACTGAGGTTTCCCCAGTTAAGGAATCCTTGTCACTTTCCCAATACTTGTAAATATGAGAAAGATTAAGTGATTTAGCCAGCATATCAGAATGCCACATGGATAAAAACAGGCCATGCATTAGGAGATGGCACATGCACATGAAAAAAAACCCAAAACGGTCACCAAAATATTATATCAATGTGTGTTATTTTTAGTAGTACTAGTATATAATGTAGAGCAGCCTGAGAGAAGAAAAATCTTTTTCCTCACAAAAAAATCACCAAGCTACCTCTGAAGAGTGTAATATTCTTGACAAATGATATTTTAGTTTTAGTGAACTGATAGTCCCTGACAAATTCTCATTCAAATCAGGTTGTTATAGAGATTGCAGAGGAAAGGTGAATGAAACAGAATGGCTGAGAGAAAAATAGGATTCAACTGAAAGGGGAAAAGGAACAGATGGGCAGAAAGGTGAAAATAAATGAAGAAAGCAATTTCTTTCATGCTTTGTAGCAAGTTTTCTTATGCATTACCAAGTAAAAACCAGCAATATTCAGCATATGAAAGAACTTACAACTACCAAGAGTGACCCTTCTTCAGGTTAAATACTCAGTGCAATTTTAATAACCTCACTATTAATTTGAACATCTAATTTCCAATGAACATTTACAGTAATTAAGCTGTGAACATGTAAAAAAAAATTCCTAAAGTGCAGCCAGATAACTATTTAAAACATAGTTCAGCAGTCTAGTATATTCCTGGGAGATAAACCAAAACTTGTGTTTCAATCAGAGCAATTTTCTTCACTGGCTTCTTCGTGAGAAGCCTACACTGTGTGGTGGGAGCAGTCAGAGATTGCCACACTTGAAAAACATTACCCAGGTACCTTCCTATGCCTTCCCCATTTCGGGGTTAATTTCAGAAGTGAAAAAGGAATTCCCTCTCCAGGGAAGCAGCAAGGCTGCAGGTGCTTTGAAAACTCCTGAAAAGATTGGGCTGTTTTGGGAAAGAACAGGATTTATTAGCATGAAGTGATATTAGGTACTCTCCTGGCATGGGTGATAATTCTGTCCCAAGTTGTCCTCATTTCCATCAGGCTTCTGGGTTTTTCTTCTTTCACAGGTCATTTACTGGAGAAGATAGAGAAGCCAACAGAGAGTATCTGATGTAGTTCATCAGCGTCCCTATGACTTCCTGTGCTTGAGAAAAGCACCAAGCACCGACATGCTCACGGCCCTCTTGGCCTCCCTGCTTTACTGCAAGTAGCTTTGCACTTTTTGCTGTAACCAAAGGGGTATCAGAGACTGATACTGATGTTGGAGAAATATTTGCTACCATCAGAAAAACAAGAGTTTTACAGGCCGGTGACAACAGACTTGCAATTTGGCTGGTTTTATCCTTGAGAGGGGGGGTGGGAAGGGGGAGATGTGGGAAGTGGCCCAGCAGCACATTTTATTTTCCACTCTGTTCCCCTCAGCTACAAGGTATTTTTTTAGGAAATTCTATCACTAAAACTGCTGTGGATAAGATGCACTAAAAATTATTTAGTTGATTTTATCTTGCTATTTGAGTTCCTACTGCTTGTAGCTCAAGACATATCAATCTTGCAACTAATGCCACACAAAAATAACTGCTCTGACTACTACCAAATTCTACTGCAACAACTCACTGGACTATGCTCAACCACAGTTAGTGCTGCATCAAAACAGAATCAAAGCACAAACTATAAATAAAAGATAAAAATAAATTAAAAGCCTAGCAATTATTGTAAATAACTTCAATTATCCACTTATATTCATTCAAGATTGGCAGATTTTCAGGTTGATTGTTTTTAGAGTGCTAGCTTGTTTTTTGAAGCAACAACGAATTCAGCTTGGCAAGAGCTGGACAAACAGAAATGAAACTGCAAATGGATTAAAGTATATGAAACTTGCACATTGTATAACAGCAGCTAAGGCAATCCTGGAGTTATTAGATTCATTTCTAACTTAACTAGTTCAACATTAAATTTAGTTATGGCATCTGAAGATTGCCATGGCATGAAAGGAAGACTGCAGATGAAGAAGGTAACACATTTGTCTTGTACCGAGTTCTGCTGGGCTCAAGGCTGTTCAAAGCCAATATATCAGATACAAAATATGCAGATTATCAAATCTCCTACCATGTTGTTTTGTCTACCACAGAGCAGAAAGGAATGATGTGCTAAAAAAGTTTTTATTCTATACTTTTAATTCCATATGTCCCAGCCATCAAGGAATCAGTTCAACTGCAGACACAACTTAGAGCTTCTTCAGAGCTATTTAAAATGTGATTTGTCTGCCTATGATACAGCAGGAACCAGCTCCGTCAGGCACCTCTCCTATCAGGATCAAGATGAAGGTTCTTCAGCTCCTTGTCCCCTTCTAAAACAGCTCATGGAATACTGATAAGAACTTTGGAGCATTTTCTTCACTCTTTTTTTCATTAGATGCTTAATTT